CCCACCTTACACAGAGGGATGGAAGATGTCATGGCTAAAAAGTTCACATTTTTCCACGCTCTGCTGCCCTCCTGCTCAAACAGCTGGTGCTCCAGGGCACTCGGGTCAGCACCGAGCCAGAGCAGCGTGTTTGCAGTTACAGCAGCCTCCTAAAGCATGGTAACACCCCAACGCTGGATGTGGGATGGCTCTCCATCACAGGTGTTGATACATATCGAATTCACAGGGCAAAAGATCACAAGGCAGCCAGAAGCTTTGCAAGCCTCCAGCGCGGCTGGTTTCTGGGTCAGCTTGCTTTCAGCGTGGGGCAGTGCCTGTCCTTCAATCTACCCACTACCCTGCTGCTGCTCTCCCAGCCGTGTTGATGTAATGCGGTTTGGTGGTGATCCCTAAGGTGCCTAAGGGGCTTTTTTTGGGTTGAGATACATGCTCAGTATTCAAATACCTCTTTTAGTAAAGGGCTGCCCCAGGAATTTAGCAAAGTAGCCCAGGAGCTGAGATTTCTAAATTTGCCCAGTCTGGTGGTATCTCCTCTAAGCTTAGATGTCAGATGGTACCAGTGTCGTGGTTTAACCTCAGTTGGCACTGTACCAGCTACCAGGAAGGAAATTAACTCTATCCCTGCCGAAACCAGGACAACCAGCTTATCTGCTAGGGACGGGCATTGTCAGCAGTGTCTCGCTGCTCATCCCCCATCCCCTCTCGGTACCCACACTCTGTCAGTGAGTTGCTTTTGCATTTGAGGGGCTGGATCCTGTAAAGTCCCAAGTTCACCCTTGGACTCCAACACAAACAAAGGTGGAGACGCTCCTGCTCCTTCAAGCACAAAGAAATACAGTACAAAGGTCCACCATGGATATAGGGACAACCCCCTTCCCAGCCATTAATGAGCATAAGGGATAGAAAGACCTGTTTGTACGAGGAGCCCAGACCAGCCTGGGCTTTGACGGCTGGTTCAACCCAACGGGCATGGCTAAGAGCCTGGAGATGTTGCAATAAGTCACCTTGAGCCAGGCCTGGCACGAATTCCCTCCACTGGTCCAGAAGGGACCGCAGGCACCAGGTTGGCATAGGGCTTTGGCAACGGGAGACAGAGCTTGGCAGCTCCACAGCTTTGTGGCCAGGCTGTCGATAAGCACTTGTTACCAGCTGATGGCTGCTGGGCATCCCATGGATAATGGATGTGTGGCCAGTGTTCAGGTCTCAGGAGATAATGAAAACTGATAACACAAAATGAGCTCTTCAGCAAGTCCCTTGGAGAGTGTGCTCCTCAGGAGCAATCAGAGAGATGCCACCCCTATGCCAGCCTCCCTGTTCAAGTGGCTTTCCTCTATAGGTGGTATTAGCAAAACTCTTCACAGAACCTCTGGACATCCCTGTGTCCCACCTCACCAAACTTCAGCAGAGACTTCCAATGACTCTACCAAAATCTCTTAATGGAGATTTAATAAATTGCCAAGTGGGGAAATTTATATGCATGGAAATGACTCTTGGAGTCACTGTCATCCTTAACCCTTTGGAGGGCACTCATCTGACCACACACCCTGTGTCCTGGTTTCGGCAGGGATAGAGTTAATTTCCTTCCTAGTAGCTGGTACAGTGCTGTGGTTTGGATTTAGGATGGGAACAAAGTTGATAACCACCGATGGTTTAGTTGTTGCTAGGTAGTGCTTACACTAGCCGAGGACTTTTTGGTTTCCCATGCTCTACCGACTGAGCAGGCTGCAGGTGCACAAGAAGCTGGGAGGGGGCACAGCCAAACTGGCCAGAGGGACATTCCATACCATGGGACGTCATGCTCAGTACATAAACTGGGGGAAGCTGGCCGGGGGGGGCCGCTGCTCGGGGACTGGCTGGGCATCGGTCGGCGGGTGGTGAGCAATTGCATTGTGCATCACTTGCTTTGTGTAGTATTATTATTATTATTATCATATTATTATTATTATTATTATCATTTTATTTCAATTATTAAACTGTTTTTATCTCAACCCGTGAGTTTTTCTCACTTGTGCTTTTCCAATTCTCTCCCCCATCCCACCGGGTGGGGGGGAGTGAGCGAGCGGCTGCGTGGTGCTTCGTTGCCGACTGAGGTTAAACCACGACACCCTGTAAGCGCTTCTCTGCCAGCCTGGAGAAGATCATATTGAAACCCATCTGCTGCTCCTCTATGTCTGAAAGGACTCTGCCTGCCTTCTTGCTTGGTGGGGTTTTTTGGGGGTGTTCAAGCCCAAAAGCCACGTATTTTGTTGCGAGCCTTACTGGTTTTGTTTTTGTCTAAGGGGGAAAAACATTGAGGGGCTGTAGACTACCTTCTGCCGTAGAGCAAGGCAAGGAGGAGGACATGTTGGCTAAATAGCCTGTGGGATGTGTTCATGTGTCCCCTTGGTGCCACAGCTCGTGTTTACTTGAAGGAGGACCCTGCTGAGCAGGGAACAGCTTTGCAGCAGCCAGTGAAGACTCCCAACCCAGCTGCTGGAGGAAAAGCCAAGAATCATGTCCTATGGGCTTGGGGAGGCCATGAGCACTGCTTGGGAGGCTGAGCTTGGGGTGGGCTCTAGCCTTCGGTGCTGGGACAGCCCCACGGGGCTGTGTTCCAACACATTGCATTGCTGCTCGCGGCTTGAGCTGCTGTGATGGCTGCATGGGCAATTCTGGATGGCTCGTGCCATGTCTGTACAGGCGGGTGACCTTCAAAGCAGCTGCTCGGGCTTGGTGAGCAAGTGCAGGAGAAGGGAAGAGAAAGGCTTCAGCCTGCCCGTGGTGGACAATGAGCATGGCGGAAGTCTGGGCGGCAATCCTGCCCCTTGTTCTTGCCTCAGCAAGGCTCTCTTAACATGCAGTCAGCCAAAGCCATGCCAGAAGCAGGGAGAGGAGCCAAAACGGTTCCAACCAGGGAGGGACGCGTGGCAGCTCCAAGGCACAGAGCTTACTGCATGGAAAGAGCCCATTGCTGTGGCTGCCCTGCCAACGTGCTGCTTCACAGAGGTTATTTAGGGCAGCCACAGTGGCAGACATGGGAGCATTGCTCCAAGGGTCTGCTGTCGGCCTGGCGGGGAGGGCAGTGGGGCTCAGGCTGGTGGCATGGGATGGGGGGACATGATTTGGGCTTTGCAGAGACAAGACCTGCCTTTCCCTGAGACACTGCAGTGCACTGAGGTTGTCTGTGTGGCTGCCCAGCTGGGACTTCTGTCCAAGCAGAGGGAAGTTCTTGTTGACTTAGGTGGCCCAGGACAGAGACCTACCCTGAGCACCCTTGGCCGGTGACTTGCTTGACATTGCCCTTGGGGGACAGTCTACTCCAGAGCAAGTGACGGACCGGCAGCCCTTTGCACCATGCTCTGAGCAGCAGCAGGATTTGTCCCAAAGGAAAGTGGTTTTGTGCATGAACACGGGCACTCGAGACAGGCGTGGAGGATGGATTCGCACCTTCTCCAGGGCAAAGGGATGTCCTCAGTCCCTCAGCTGGCTGCAGACACCTCCCGTCTGCAGCATCCCCTGTGGGTAAATCTGGGCTGACCTCCGCTCCCTGTGGCTGGTTTAACGCCTCCCAAGGTTCGGGACTCCATCAGCTCTCCCAAAACAGGTTTTCACAATCCAGCTGACTCTCCCCGCTGTGGCCACCACATTGGTGACGGTCACTGGGCATTCAGCAGCACCCAGCCATGAGCTAGCAGAGGTGCAAACACACCCACAGATCGCATCCTGCTCCCATTCCTCCAGGCTATAAAACCAGCAGGGTTTGGAGCTCCAGGAAACTCGCCTTCTCTCTTTATTGGGGTAAAGCAGCATCATTTTTACCCAGTTCTATTTAAACTCCTGGTCACTAATAAATGAGACTCCAAGAGACGACCACAATGCACAATATCAGAGCTGGCCCCACCACGGGCAGACAGGGATGCAGCTGAGCACGGGAGGCTGAGCACGGCCATGGCATCGTGCCCACCCCATCAGGAGGTGTGTGAGGATGCGGTGGAAAGGGGAAAGGGGGGGGTGAGGGGTGAGGAACGGCCCCGCGCAGCCCCCGGGATGGGCTTGTCCTGGTGTCTGCCCCTCACCCTGTGCCGAGGCTGCGCTGGGGGCTCCAGCTTGGGGTGGGGGGGCAAGGCAGAAATGACACAGCCCGGCCATTTCCACAAGACCAGCTTTAATATCAGTCATGAGAACAAGGAGAAAGCACAGAATCCATTAATGGGAAAATATAAGAAAATTTTAAAAAATTAAAAAATTAAAAAAAAAATAAAGAAACCCACCGCCCCGTGCCCACCCGCCGCAGACGGACTATCCAGGCACTGCAGATGGAGGAGCACGACACAGCAGGGGGGGGGGGGCGATCCACTGAGAGCCACCCGGTCCGGCCCCTCTCCAGGGATGCTCACCTTGGGGTGACTGGTAGTGCTGAGGAGCCCCGGCGGTGGCCCGGCCTTGGGGGACCCGGCTTAGCTTAAGATTCATCACAGACTGACACGAAGGACAAGAACGTAAGAAGAATCCAAGAGCTGCGACTTTTTGTTTTCTTTATTCTAATTCAGCCTACGACGTTAGTAATGGTGATTTCAGGGGATGGCTGGGCCCGCGAGTTCCTTCTTGTAGTGAAAATCAGAGACTGTAAAGAGGAACAGAGCTTATAAAGACAGATAGGAATATATTGCCATAAAAAGAACTGGCATGCAAGTGCTTTATACATTTGGCAGTATGTGAAATGGCGGGGCTTCGGTTTTTGTTTTTGGTGGTGGTGGTCTCTTTGTTTTGTACAGTTCAAAAATGAGCTGCTGCCTTCACATCTTGAAGACAACCCCCCCACAGGAAAGGACAACACAAGTCAAGTCCAAGGCGCCTCTCGCTTGGTTTTGGCAGAGTATATATATAATATATATATATTTATTTTTTTTTAATGCATAGCGATTTTCTTCCTTTTTTTATTTTTAATTTTTTTTCCCCCGTTGCAAACCTGAGCTCGGTCCCTGCTTTCCTGTGCAGTTTTCCTTCCTTAGGTGTTGGCACTGTGGAGCGGTCGGACGGTGTCAGCAGGCGATCTCCTCCAGCGTTCCCAGGGTGGCCTGCAGCGGCACGTTCACAGTGTGGCTGATGGTTTCCGAATGATTTGGCATGGGGTCGCAAGTGCTCTGCGGACGGAGAGCGGGGGACAGGGTTACCCCGGGGCCACTGGATGCTCCCTGTCCCTCCCCAACCGCGATCTCCTTTCTTTGGCCGAGCCATAGCATCAATCCTTTGGAAATAACTCAAGCCGGGGCCAAACGCTGCATCCGTATCGAGCGACTTCGCCTGCCTACAGAGCCGACCACAGGGAAATTTCCTCCTCTCTCCCAATGGGGCTCCTTACCACGTTTTCATCATGGCTCCCTTCCTCTTCCTCCTTTCCGAGTAGGTCTAATAATTTCTCCTTGATCAGCTGCAAAAGAGGGAGCTTGGGTTAAGCTGGGCAGGAACAGGTAAGCACATCTGCCCTGCCTGCGTGGGCATCCACGAGGCATGGGGCAGCCTCACCCAACGGGGCTGGGGGCACAGCCCCGGGGGGATGCGCTGGGTTTGGAGGACACCCTCCAAAGGATAAGGAGAAGGAGACAATCTTTCCAAGAAAACCACCCCATGTGTCAAAACTGATCTTTTCACATGGAAAAAAAAACCCCAAACCTTAATGTTTTAAATATATTTGGGGTTTATTGAAAATGTCAGCTATGTGAGCACCGTTTCCCTTCACAGCCACATTATTTCCCTGGCAGCCGCTGCTGCTGAAGAACGTATTTTCAAGGGAAATCCCAGAAAGGTTGAAAAGTGAGTGTTTTTCTGAAAAACTTCCACTGGGGAGAAGAAAAAAAAAAGACGACAGCTAAAAACATGAACAATTGGGTCAGTTCCGAAGGAAGCGAGGGGGACGCTGGCTGGCATACAGAGGTGCGTGGTGGGGATTCGGGACCCTGATGAGCCCAGGAGCGCAACTCTGCCCTGGGGCAGGACCAAGAGGAGGATTGTGCTGAGTGAACGATGCAAAAAACCCGATGTCTAGGGTCAATATTTCATCCGATTTTGGCTAACCCACCAGAAAAGAACAGTTGTATCCGTTTGCTGGCAATCTCAAAGAGTTTACAAATCCTTCATTGAAAAAGTTTTAGGTGCGCTGAATCCCCCACCTTGATGGAACCCTGAGCAGATTAGATCAACCATGTAGCTTAGGCATCGTTTAAGACATTTTATTCCTTTTCTTCCCATCTGGCGTGGGTTAAATAGCTGTCATGGGCAGCCACATAGGGCATAGCTGGGTGAACCTGCTGGTGCATCCCCGGGTGTGCACGGGGAGTCTCTCCAAGGAGACAGGATGCTCTTTTAAGCCACGTGTGCCCAAGAAGAAGAAGAAGAAGAAGAAGAAAAAAGGAAAAAACCAGCAAGAGGAAACTATTTGCCAAGTTTTGTAAGCAGATGTCAAACAAGGGAGGAAAACAGAGAAGAAAAATCCAAACTTTGCAAGGTTTCTTATTACCTTCTTATGAAAGAACCCCAAGAAAGCCAGGAATAGGCGATTTTAATGAAATACTGTGTGCATTCAGCCTGAGATATAAACTGAGGCGCAGGTTTTGTTTGTACTCTGAAGCCATTATGAGCTTTATGCTTGTAATTTTCAATTTATTTTATTGCAGAATAATGCCACCAAGTGCTAACAGCTGCCCAGAAGGGGAAGGGACTGCGATGGGGAGTGACTGTCTTAAAACGTAAAGCCAGCATCCCAACTTTCATAACTTTAAGAGGTTTTTCAAGATGTCCCAGTGTGCTTGGAGCAGAGACCGTGGTTGCCTGACATCCCTGTGCACCCACTTGGCTTGGCACACATTAATGCAACAGCCACGACAACCCCTGACTGCAGTATCCCATGGGATTAAAAATCCCTGGTCCTATCATGATACAGGGCTGAGACAGGGCTATGAGAGTGCTGGACTATGCAGGTCTAAGATATTGTGTATTTGGGTGCAGGGGGCCCAAAGCCATTGCATTAAAATCACCAGGCAATGAATAAATGAGCTGAATTAGCAGGAGGCACCTTCCCAGGGACCAGGGCAAAGGACCTTGGGCTGGGACGTGCCAAATTTGCTGGGAACTGCCTGTCTCCATAGGTGTTTGCATCCTCCTTGAAACTATCCCAAGCCATAAACTCATTCCTTCCTGCTATAAAACAGGGCACACGCTCGCGTGGTCTGATCCCTGGGGTCATCTTGGTGCAAACCAAGTGCCCCTCAGCATCTCTCATCCAGCTGCAGCCCCTCTCCTTTCCTCAGTTCCAAGTTTTATAAACAAAAATCATGAGCCTGACCCCCAACACGAAGCCTTCTGCAATGTGGCAATGAAGACTGGGAAGGAAAATCAACGACTGGTGGGGAGGATGCTCCAGGGAGGGTTATTTTGGACCGTGGCCCATTTAGGTGAAAAAAACAGGATGGGAAAAGTCAAAATGGCAGGAGGGTGCAGAGAGCAGCTGGAATCTGCCTCTGCGCTTGCAGGGGCAGTGGTGGAGGACGCTGGAGGGACAATGCCCGCAGGCAGGCTGTGACAGCATGGGACCACCGAGGCCTGTGTTGGCACCGCGGCATAGAAAAGCCGAAATCCCCTGGGAGATGCTGGGCTGAGACATCAGCGTTCACTGGGGGAACTTGCTTAGGCAAAAAGAGATTAAAAATATACAAGGGTCGTAACTCTGCTGCTGGAGGGCAGGAGGAGGAAGGGCTGCCAGAAAGCAACATCCCCTCTGGACTGCTTATTGCAGTAATTCCCATTAAAGAGGGCTTGCACTTTTCTCCGGAGCAGCTGCTCTTGGCCACTGCGGAGCCATGGGACCACGCTCGAGCTCGTCTCGGTGCTTCCTGGAAAGCTCCTTGCTCCGGGGCTGCTGGCAGAGCTGCAGACAGCAGATAACAGGGACTGGGTTTTTTTCCACCCCCCGGCAGCGGTACAAGGTCTGGTCTCACTGCTTCTCCCGCCTGACGGCTGGACTGGGACTCAGGCGTTAATTAAAGCTTTGTTTATGAGAAGACGGTAACGGCATGCTGCTGGGAGAAGCCCAACTGGGGACGGGGACAGGAGGGTGCAGCAGCAGGTCCCCAGCCAGCACCCCGGAGCCACCGCACCTCGGGCAGTGCGAGATCCAGGGTGGGAAGCAGCACAGCCACATGAAGGTGGTGCTTAATTAGCCCAAGCGAGAAGCAAACCTCGTTAGCAGAGGCAGCGTGCCAAGCGAACCTGGCTATGCCATGCCATGGCTGCATGCCAGCCCCCCCCTGCGGAGAGCCCCCGCTGATGCAGGGACCTCCACACCACGCTACATAGCTGTGACCGACTATATAACACTATTGTAGAGTATTAATTGTATAGTTTCATTAATTGAAGTTAATAATCCGCGTGGGCACATTGGGCACGGAGGGTCCTGGTCCACGACCACCCCACCCTGGCATCAAGGCTGGCAAACTCACACCCCGCCAGAGGAACAAGGCAAAGGGCGAGGGTCTTACCTCATATATATAATCGAAGAGCTCTAGTATAGTGAGGATGCTAGCACCGATAAATAGCCCCATCTGGCCTCCAATGTCACCTAGGAGAGAGAACAGCATGCAGACGGCTTTTACCCCGGGGTAAATGCTCTTAGAGGCACCCGTGCAACTGTAGTGCAGCTGCCCTGGGTGCTGCTGTCCCCGAAGAGTGGGGAAATGCATCACTCCCCAAACCACCATCAGCTCTACTGGCATGAAAGGCATCCCGGGAAGGATGCTGCCAGCCACCAAAGCATTTCTCCTGCTAAGGAGGCCATCAGCTGGAAGCCTCACGAGGATGCGATGCTTCTGTTAACACAGGCACTGGCATCCGAGGAAGCCATCTGTCAGAGTTAGACAGCAGGTTTCATCCCAGGAATCCCACAGCCCAATTCCCAAACTGGGTGGGGGAAGGAGAAAGATGCTGGAGAAGAATTAGGTAAGGTCCCCTGGAGCTGACTAAAAAACCAAACCTGCCAAAGAGAGGAAAGGGAGGGGGAAGATGGCCTGCTTTTTGGGGGAGCATCTCAAGGCTGCCTCTGCTTGAGTCCTGCGATCCGCCAGGGCCAGGGAAGGGCTGCGGACGAGGCACCTTGGGGAGAGGAGACTTCCAGGGATCTGCTGGGAAGAGAACTCCTGCTGTGAGATGCTGTGCTATGCCAAACCGTGTGCTTCAGGGAAGAAAAACCTCATGGATTTTGCTGCAAAACGCCCGTGTTTCAACTGTGTCGCTGCTCAGAGCAAAGGCACCCACGGGTGGAGGGGCTACGGGACCTTTGCTGTGGGTGTCCATGAGACAGAGACAGAAGAAAGAGAGGAAAAAAGGTGCCTGGGGGCAAAGTGCTGGTTCAAAAGGGGCTGAGGACTGGGGGAAGATAGGACTCTGCCCAAAGCCCGCGGTGCCTTGGGAACGAGGGTCATGCAAATAAGGAGGCTTATGTCAAAGAAGCTTCATCACCAGCCTCCTCTTCCTCACTGCAGCACTCTTGGGGAACCCACAGCAGGTGCAGAAGGGCTCACGGCATGTACGTTTTGCAGAGCTACCACTGCAGGGTGACGTGGGGGCACCCAAGAGGACATGGGGTGCTCCCTGCGGTATCCCTCATCCCGGGGCAGGCTTGCAGCATCTGGCCCCGCGGGATGGCCCAGCTCTAGCTTTCAACCCAAGGTACCGATCGCTCCCTGCATCCCAGGAGGGATTTGGGGATTCGGGCTGGCACATGGCTCAGCTGCAAGGCTGAGCATGGGCACAGAGCATGCTTGCTTCTCCTGACCGAACACCTCCACCCCAAAGACCCAATGGGTCCCCAGCACCCAAATCTGTAGCCAGCACCCATAAAGCCTGACCCAATTTGAGGCTGAGCAACCCAACAACTCCTCCACCTTCTCCATCAAGCTGCAGGGCACCACCCAAAGGCTCAGGGTCCTGGTTGGCCTCCCTGGAAAGGAGGATAGATTTGGAGCATGTAAGAGGTGATGGGTAGATGGTTTTAAGAGCTGTCCTCCTCCACACACTACCCTTCCAGCATGGGGGGCACCACAGAGAGCATTCATCACCCGCTCGGCCCCGGGACTTCCAAATAACAGGGCCCTGGTAGAAAGCTGAGATGGAGCAGCTCACGTTAACCTTTCACGGGTGATACACAGACTAGCTGTTGCCCCTGGGACGCTCCTGGGATGGCTTGGTGTTGGAAGGAAAATAAGGGATGGGGTTGAAAGCGTGCTGGCCAAGCAGGTGGCTGGACCTTGCTGGGATTTTCAAGGCAATGCACGTAAGCTGTGCATCCACTCGTGGCATCTGTCTGTCCCATAAACACACACAGACTCCAGCAAAGGCTCACACAGACTCCAAAACGCACCCCCGATCTCTCCTTACCAAGTAAGGCTGCCACTTCATAGGCTTTCTTCTGCTCAATTGTCTCATAGTTGAGTGCTTCAAAAAATATGTCCAGCACAAGAATATTCTCTCTGTAGAAAGAGGACAACAGCATCAGCCCATCAGGCACCAGCGGCCTCATGTGCTTTGGGACAAGAAAAAAATGGGACTTCAGGGCTTTATTCCCCTCTCTGTCCTGACTGTTCTCTTTCTGGGGTCCTCAGCAACCCACAGACGCTTGGACGTCCTGGAGACCAAGACCATAGGGCACCGTTAGGACTCTGGCAGCCTTAGCAGAAGCTGGAAAATGTTTCCCCGAGATGTCTCAGGATCTGAGCTCTGGATCTCACTTTGATGATAACAGCAAGAGTCCAAAGGATGCTTAATATGGAATAACTCTCGCTGCCTCCACAAGGCAATAATGTGGCCAGGGCTGGGAGAGGTCCAAGACAGTGGCTGCCTGAGGTCCACAGCCCAGACTTAGGTAGAGAGCAGCCGTATCTCAGACAGGGCCAGCAAGACTGGGCTTCCCTGTCAAAATAAGAGGGGGTTTTGCACTTTTTTTGGTGGGTATGGAGTATGGTCACAAAGACAAGGCCAGGGCAGGAACATACAGTTGTCTGGAAAGATGTCTACTAAGAACAAAGCAACCTACACGCCATCTCTTCAAGGGTTTCACCCTAACCCCCCCTGGAGGACATACCTCTGTTTGGTGATGGAGGCATTGGCAAGGTCTGGTCTTAGCACAGGCTGGTTTAAACAGCCAATGGGGCTTTACAGACACTTTCCCCCACAAAGCAAAGGAGATCCGTTTTCTGCAACACTCACGAGATATATTTTTCCGACTTGTTGAACTTCTTCTCCAGGTACTTGGCCGAGGTCTTGCTGGGGATCTTGACCATGGAGAGCTCTTTGTTGTATCTGGTCAGGTTACAGGGTGTCCTGCAGATGCAGTAACTGCTGTCCTTTTCAGCAAGCAAACCTGGAGAAGGTCACAGATCTCATGGAGTCAGGGACACACAGCAGATGTGGGAGCTGAGGTCATGCCACCCAGAGAGGGGCCAAGGAGTCATATCTCAGAAGCGCTGCAGGAAACCCAGTCCTGGCCATTTCTCTCCCACGTCACTGCACGGCCATCCCCACCATCTTGGAGAGAGGCCTTTCGCTGGAGGCTACACTCTACCAGCATTTGCTCAGGGAACATGTGATGATTGAGTCTCCTAAATCCAGACCTAGAATGGGTCCCTCCATCCCAAACCCAGACCCAGAGGTGCTCCCCTCCTACATATCCTTGGGTGTCCATTATCCCGAGGGCTTCTGCGCTGATGGAGCCCCAAGCCCCATGTAGAACCAGCAGAAACTTTATCCCAGGGTGCACCCAGCCTTTCCCAACAAGTTGGGTCTCATCAGAACCCATCACCGGGTTGCAACTGCTCTAGATCACCCCAGTCCTGCCAGCCAGGAGGACACAGGCTGCTGGAAGTCCCTCCAGTCTGGGACACCCGTGTTACCCAGGGATATCTCTTGGTACTCACCGAGCGCAGGCTCTGCGCATTCCTTATACTGCTCCGGGGTACAGAAGGGAGCATCCCCTGCATGGAAAGGACACATCTATCAGTGGGCATCAGCCACCACTGCTGCAAGGGAGCTGGGGACCGCTGGGCTCTCCGCGGGGACCACAAGGACCTCCTTTTAGCAAAGCAAACCCAGGTTGGGGATGGACAGCAGAGGTTTTGGAGCATCTGCCCCACCTCTGCCTGCCGCAGGGGCCTTGTCTTGCAAACCAAGGAGTGGGCTGCTGGAAATACCACCCAGGGGTGTTAACTGGGGCTAAGTAAGGGGAAATGAGACCCATGTCCCTCTGCCATGTCTTGCCCCTATTTCAAGGCATTTTGCAAAAGCAATTAGCAACCTTCTTTCCTTAGGGAAAGGTATTCCCAGCTCCTTTATTCCCTGATCCCTTTCCAGCTCATTAACCCTTAATGACCCAGGCTGGGTGGAGGGAGGGGGTCCCTGCCCTCCCCCCCCTGCCCCAGCACACTGACCTGGCATGTGAACCATTTTGCAGTTGCAGTTTTCCACAATATACCGGGTCTCACAGTCGATCCTGCAAGCCGTGATACTGTAAACGGGAAAGAAGTCTAAGCCCATATCCGACGAGCGGCATTCACCCCACGGCGGAGGCAGGTACGTCAGCTGCAAGAGAGGGAGGAGCGGGGTGTCAGGGGATGCTGGGGACAGGCAGCAAGGAGTGGGGCGCAGCATCTCCCTCCTCTTGCCACAGAGGAGCCCCCAGAGCACAATTTTAATGATGTTTTTAAGGAGGGGACCAAGCGGTGCTGTTGCAAGGAAAGGTCACAGCATCATTTTTGCCAAATGAGAGCCTTTAGCAAGCTCTTCTGCTCCAGAGCTGCTCTCCTGAGTCCCTCCAGCTCAGCACCTCCAGGAGCAGAGCCACAGCAGGATGGTGCACTGGAGATGTGCAGCACCAGAGGTTGTCCAAGACCAGCTCTGTGGTCTTTCTTGCACCATTGGGAAAATCCTGCCCATGCAGGGACTGAAGGGGAGGCTCCGACCTGCAAATCATCTCTGACTTTGGTGAGAACAAACACGGGGTCATTGGCACCGGCGTGTCGACAGCTCCCATCTCCAGCTTAGTCTAATCTGCAGGCTGTGCTACTATTTGCCACTCATGGGGACAATGCAGACAGCCCTGGTGACACTGAGGAGCAGAAAGGGGTGGCAGTGAGATCCTGGTAACGGCTGTGATCGCTCTGGTGTGAGCAAAGCTGCCACATTTGCACTGTTCCCTTCTTCAGGCACTTTTCTTGTTGATAAAAAATACGGCAGATCACAACCCTCAGAGATGGCCAGGGGCTTGGGAAGCACATGGAAAGGACCAAGAACAGTTCAGCAACTAGAGATGGCTGCAGAAGGTGAAAAGTGCCAAGGAAAGGGCGTACCAGTGTCATAAGGAGCCTCCAAACCTTCATGCTCCCCATGGAGGGATGGCTCTACTCAGAGCAGTGCTACCATGGGAGACGGTACTGGGCTGCAGAGCAGTACCTCGCTGCAGCCTCGGAGAAGGCAGACAAGTCAGTCATGTCCTTTTCTGAACACCCATGCTCAGGGAGAGCCCTGTGGAGCTAGATACACTTTATCCACTCCCCGGGCACCCCATGGTGATGAGGAACCTGTCTTCTTCTCTCCTGTTTGCACACCACCTTGCATGAGGCTCATAAGTTGCTCTGCTCAGTGCTAGTGCAATGCAAACCCTTCTGCTGTTACCGCTTTATTTAACAGAAATGCAAAGATAAGATAAGCGGGACGCCACAACCCACCTCAGCAACCTTAATTCAGAGCCCTGAACATGCTGGAGGAAAAACAGTCACTCTCTGGCCCCCACGGCCAAATCTACCTTGTTCCTCTTCTGTCTGCAGCTTGGCAGCCTTTCCCATTTCTCTTTATCTTTGCTAAATGCTCTGCACTACTCTTTGCTAGAGAGCAGAAAATAGCATTCCCCTAACCCCTCCTTCTTTGTGTTTTAAAGCAGCATCCAATTTGCTGTGCTTTGCTCCAAACACAGAATGTTTTGTACTGGCAAAGCACGTTGGCTGAACAAAAACATTCTTTTAAAAACTGTAGTAACATTAATCACATCCTAAAATAAACACATAAACGTATGTTGATGGACTATGAGCCTAGGACCTAGTGGCAGGGCTCTACGGTGCTTGTTTTGGGTCTCTTCTGGAGATGTGTGGGAAAGGGAGGAGAAAAGAGATGATGCACAAAGCGGAGGCACATTGCAGATGCTGCTGGATGAATAACGACCCCATGTACCCTTCAGGCACGGACCTGGGGTAACTACGACAAAATTACCACAGCGTGAGGCGTTTGGAGCCCATGCTCTGCTCTAGGTCCTCTCTGGGAGGTCTCCTCCAAGAGCAGAGCTCCAGCTTTCCAATGCGTCCCGTGAGAAGATGCGCACCTTGTGCACCAGCTTGCAATGCTGGGGTGCTGGTAAATCTCCCCGTGGCTTTGACTTACGAACGACTCAGTAGTTAAAAACCCATAATGGGCTTAAATTGCAGCCAGGAAGAGAAAGATGAGATGCTGGGATGAACGTGTCTTGTGGTGAGGACAGCTGGGTATGGGAACAGTCTGCCTTGGAGGGGCATGAAACCTGGAAGCTAAAGGAGAGTTTGGGGAAGATGCCAGGCTTCAGAGAGGGTGATCCTGCCCTTTGGGGTGGGACAAGCTCTTAACTCAGCCAAGCCAAAGTTAGTCCTTCTCTAGGAACAATTTTGCCAGGAACAGTTCCCATCCAGGTATCCAGAAGTGCTTTGTTTATTCCAGCACCTTGCTTGCTGCATTTACGGGCGCTGTACTGCTTCCCAGTGACTTCTGTCTCTAACAGGCCGATGCAGGTTTTATGGGACCAGCTGGAACCATGGGCATGGCAGCCCTGTGGCATGCCCATCTCCTAGACGAGCCACAGGTCCTCCCCACGATGAGATGATAGTTCAAGGTCTTCCCTTGCATGACCCCAAGGACAGACCTGAGAAAAGCTCAGACCCTGCCTGCACAAGGGTGAAGGGGGTCTCCATGTAACGGTGAACGCTTTTTTGGCTCTGGATCCTCCACCAGCCAGGGAAGCAGGGAATCACCAACTCCCTTCCCCTGCTCCTGTGAGCATCATCCCTGGTCTCAAGTGCCAGTGAGACAGAAAACTTTGCAGGGATGTTCAGCCACGGCAGATCTGTGTGGTCTGCTCAGCGCTTCTGCGTCCTGGTGTGCACGTGCAAAGAAACAGGATGCTATGCATGCTGGAGCCGGCATCGCCCATGGGTGCCCCGGCTGCTTGCTGAGGGACATGAGCTCTGGCATTCCCAAAATCTGCCTCAATCCATGCTGCTGCTCAAGCTGCTTTGAAAAGCAACAGCGAGAGCTATTCAGCTGCTCGGAGCAACACGCACCGATCTGTGTGCTCAGCAGGTCCGATCTGAAGAACAGACAATATCCACAACGGGTGCGAAGATGCAGCAGGTGACGGAGGGATCCCATCTGCAGGGACCAGCTGAGGCATTAAGGGAAAAAAAAACAGTTCCCAGCAATCTCGGCATCCTCCAAGAAAGAGGCCGGGCTCTGAATGGGACGGTTTTGAAAGTCAGCAAAGCAGCACCTTGGAAAGAAAATATCAAGAGCGTCTTTGTGACAATAGCAAAGTGCTGTTTGGAAGGGGATCTTTTCTCATTTGCTTTACACTTGCAATATAATAGAGTACCAGATGCCATCATTTAGTCATCTGCAGTGGAGAAAGGGGCCCGTATGTTGCATGTTGTATAATAAAGGAGAATAAATAATCGTGGTCTCAGATGGAATCAGCTCTCTTCCAAGCACAGCTACACACAAATCTTTTAAGCCCTTTAAATTTTATTCTGAATGTAGGTGGCGGGATCAGCAAACGATGGAGTCGCGATCAGGTATTTAGCTTACACACTTTTTTGCTCAGCCAGCGTTGGATTTGAGCCACAGTGCTCGTGAACTGGCACCGCGTCTGCAGGAGGCGCACGGGCTGAATGATTAATTAAACCCTAATCAACGCAACTTCACTAACAGAGTTATGACCTGTTTTGTAGCCGGGACCATGAGCACCGACCACCCCCATACCGCGAAGCAAAGCTGGTTTGCCTCTCCCCAAAAGCATGGCGTTCCTTGGGGATTTGTTGCCTTGCCAGGCACGCAGCCCCATGCACACGCTTGTACACGCCCAAGTGTGCATGTGCAAGGGTGCAAGTGCAATTCACTTTTCACTGGCTTCCTAAAAATGCAGGAATAGGTGCAACACATCTCCCCTGCCACATGCCAAGACTTTTGCTCTCCCCACCACTCTCTGAATTGCTGATACTTAAGAGCAGAAAAAGCCTCCTGGTACATTTAACACCCGTGGAGGTTTTTTTGCTCGGCAGTATAAAGGCTTTCCCTGTTTTGGAGAAAAGCATGTTGTGTCTGGGACTGACAAGAGACACCAGGGAAGCTCCAATTTTTACTTTTTAAAGGAAATTTCCCCAGTGAAACTCCTGCCCATGGAGCACAGCCCTACGGGGTGCGACAGACGCACCGTGGTGCTGCCTTGTTTTGTATTAAACCCTACCTCTTATGTCTCTGTAACACAGGGCAGGATTTCTTGCTACTGGTTATGCCTCCGAGCAGAGCCCCGAGATGCGGCGGCTGTAACCAAAGCATCTCCCACACCCAGGGGACCGGCACTGGGAATCCGTGCGCTTCCCCCTCCGTTGCCGGCTCGGTAGGAAGCAGCGCTGCAGCGAGGGTTCATTTGAAGTTTGACAAGCAAATCTGTGCTTCTTCCTCACGGGCAAGATTTTAGAGACAAATCTCCCTGGGCTGGCGGGTTGGACCCTCCCTCCCTTGAGCAAGTCAATGAACTCTTCTCTCTCCAAGGGGCTCATCAAGGGCTATTACCTGGAGCCTCCATGGTAATTACAGCTTGAAAGACTCGTTGCTTCCCTTGCGCTCTGTAATTTGTAATCAGAAGCAAACTCTCGACTGATCAGCAGCCAGATATGGATGCGGGACCTCTCTGGAGGGAGAAGGCACATCATTAGGGACCGGGCTCTGCAGAGAAGAGGGGAGCCACATTTCCCAGATCCTGCCTCAACATCCACAGGTAATTTGGTCCCAGGAAAGCTCCCTTCACCTTTCCCAGGTGGTTTTGGTGCGCAGGCACCAATGTACCGTCTCTGACGTAGTCAACTCTTGTCCTGACCTTTTGTTTCCAATTATCTCTGAAGGCAGCTGCTCCGTTACCATCTGTGTTTGGAGCCACAGCACCATCGCTCGCAGGTACAAGGCAACTGCCAGGACCGCTGGGTCACATCCTCTGAAATGCTCCCTGTTATTCTTCAAAGAGGAGACTATCCAGCCCCAGAGCCGGGTATGGTTTTACCCATCAAATAGTGCACCTTGCAGCGAAAGACTCAAACGAAGGGGCCAAATGCTTCGCAGCCCACGGCGGGTTTCCTGCCCTGAAGTGCAATGGAGCAGGATCCCGAGGTTCTTCCCTCAAGCCCCCGTGGCTTCTTTCCCCCGCAGACCAGCCCCATCCCTGCTCCCGTTGCCTCTCCCGCCTTGGCACAGGAGTCCCAATGCCCTGCAAGCCCTGGGGTTAATGCAAT